TACTTCCACTAACTTGGCTGCCCCGGAGTCCGACATAACTACCGATTAGTCAGAGGGCTCCTTGCATGGGGAGAAGGTGGGCTTTCCTGGTGACCAGCAGTGAGCCCCAGCCCACTCCCAGCGTGGCAGGGGCTCACCGAGCCCACTGGCTCTCGCCCAGGACAGGGGTGCGTGTTTTATCAATGTTTCCATTACGACGAGTCTGAGGCTGTCCTGTGGGCTAGGGACACACTGAAGCCTGAGCAGCAATAGGAGGCCCGGCTCCCCCTTAGGGGAAGGAGGGCTTTGGTAAGCACTCACAGGGGGAACTGCTTGCCCCCCGCCACCCCCCAGCTGGCCTGCTGTACTGCTCAGTTCTCCAGGGACCTCAGCTTCAGTCAGCTGGGGGCTTTGATGGGAAAACCAAGAGAGAAGCTTTGCTTCGGCCCAAAGTATCTGGCCAGCCATCTGACCAGAAAGTCGTGAGTGAGATGCTGCTCCGGCAGACCCCCAGTCTAAGCAACACTGAGCTCGGGAGGACAGGACCCCAGGCCTGGGCCCGGACAGCTTCCTGGCAGGAGAGTCGAGAGGACAGGACCCCACACAGTTTCCCCTTCTGCCTCCTAGCTGTTCCTGTCATGGTCAGGAAAGGGGAACGCGTGGGGGTTGGGGGCTGGCTCACTGTCGGTGATGGTGCCCCTGGCAGGAACCCGAAGACCCTGGCTACCCTCCCGGCACCCCTAGGCACGGGTCAGCCACCACCCCCAGCCCCCAGCCTTCTCACGGCCCTCTCAAGGCCTCAGACACAGATGGCCACACCGGCCAGCCACACTCGCCCTCCCCGGAAGCGCAGCTTGGCAGGCTCCGGGCACCGTTTCTTTTGTGTTCACGTTTCTTTTGCGTCCCTAGCTGGGCCGGCGCGCCATGGGGAAGCGTGGCTGCCCCAGTATTCCGGGGACCTGGCGCTCAGACGGGAGCTGCAGGACCTCGCTTGCCGAGGCTGCGGCGCAGGGAAGGATTGAGTCTGTGCAGCTGTCATGCAACGGGGTTTCATAGCCACAAGCTAATAGCTGTGACGAAGGAATTATTAAAGTGTTAAATATTTCATTTAAAAAGGAACATTGCAGTCACTTTAAAAAGAAAACTCAGAAGTCATCTCTTAAACCCACCAGGTGTGAGACAGCAAGGGAGAGAGAAGGCTCCTGGGGCGGCTGGTGTCCCAGGGAGGGTGGCTGGGCCAGAGCTTGCGCAGAGACTGTCCCTGGGCCAGCCACCTGCCTGTCTGGGGCACCGCTCTGGGAGAGGGTCTCCGAGGGACGGGGCTCGGGGTCGGAGGGGAGGCACACGCGCACCTGAGAGCAGGTTTCTGCCGTGAGGAGCCCTGGGGCCCAGTGGTTCCCGCACACACGGCTGCTCAGCAGGAGGAAGTGGAGACAAGGCTGCCTCTGTAGAGATCCCAAAGACGGAAATTAAACTGGCACCACTGAGCGGATGCCGGCACACAGCCAGCCTCAGACAGGGCAGACAGGGCAGAACTGTCCCTGTGGGTTTCTGAGACGGTGACTCTCGATAGGAGTAGAAAATCTGGTCTGTTGCTCCCCCGAGCTGCTGGTGGTTTTGAACTGCTGAGCCGGCATATTGCAGCCCAACTCGTAACCACTGCACCACCAGGACTCCCGGAAAGGCTGTGGGCAGAGTTCTCCCCAGCTGCTGGGTTGCCAGCAGGTAGCAGCAACAGCAGCCCTGAGTGGGGCAGCTTTCAGAGTGGGGCAGAAGCAGCCCTGGTGGTACCAAGGTTGAGCGGGTCCCCTGCGAGTCGAAAGGGAGAGGACAGCCTAGACCCTGGGGCCGTCCTGCCCCACCCTGTGGGTCTCTGAGCATCAGAACCGAGCTGAGGGCAGTGGGTGTGAGTGCTGGTACGGGTCCTCACTCGTGGACCTGTGGACTGGTCTTTTTTGTACCAGAGCAGGTGGTGGGGAGCATGGTCCTCAGCCCATCTGAATGGTACCCCTGCACAGAAGACCGCCCCCGCCAACACACAGGAATAAGTTCATGCGAACGAAGGTGCATCTAGACGCCAATGCAGCCTGGGGCTACGGGCTGGGAAGGGACCCGGAGTGACCTCCGGAGGCGTGCACAGAGCACGCCCAGCTCGGCAGTCCCCTGCCTTCCGGTTTCTGGCAGCATCCAGAGCTGGGAGACAGGGCTGGGCTGCCCCCGAAGGGCTCCACTCCTGGCACCTGGCACGGCAGCTCCGGCCTTTCCATGCTCCTCATCCAACCACTGCCATGACCACTGCCGCAGCCTCTGCCCCAGGGGATGCCCGGACTTTCACGATAAGCAAATGCAAAGAAGCCGGGTGTGCACGCGGGCAGAGGTGCCCACACACTTCCTTTTTACGGAGGAGACACAATGAAGGCTGGTTCCAAGACTAACGGCCCCGCTAAGTAAAGACTTGCTGAAGAAAAATGAATTCAAAAGAAATCACACTGACCTTTGTGAGAGGTTTGGCGGAGGACCGGCCTCCTCAAAAACACTTGCTCTTCAACCAGAGTTGCTCGGAAAAGGATGCCATCGGCATCTTTAGTAAGCGAGGACAGTTACCCCCCAGACGTGGCTAACTTTTGCTTCTTCCCCGCCACCCTTGATGAGGACTGAAGGGGCCCCTTCAGCAGCTCACCTTTCGCTGGGCTGTCTTCCGGGCTGGATGAACCTGACGTCCGGGTTGAGAAACTGAATCTGTCCAGGGCGGGGGCAGGAGTCGCCCTGCTGACGCCCAGGCTCCTGGTCTGCTGCTGAGCTGGATCTCAGCAGGAGCAACCAATTATTATATTATCATGCTATTCATCACACTCCAGAGGCTGCCCCAGGCCAGAAGACCCTCTGAAATTTCCAGGTCCAACCAGGCTGAACTTCACAAACAGCGATCTCGTGTGCTTCACCTAAAAGCAGACTTTTGTGGGTGGCCTTCAGCCAGCAAGGAGTCCTGGGGACATCAGGGTTAAGTGTTGGGTTGCTAACCAGGTCAGCAGTTTGAAACCACCAGCTGCTCCAAGGGAGAAAGATGAGGCTGGTGAAGAGTGAGGGTCTCGGAAGTCCACAGGAGCAGTTCTACCCTGTCCTATAGGGTCACTACGAGGCAGTGCCGACTCCTGGCAGTGAGTGAGTGAGTGAGTTCAGCCACTAAGCGCGTCAGGACCTGCAGGATCATCTCCTAGACCTGAAGCCCACAGTGCATGGAGCTAACCCTAGCTCCTAGTGACCCCACAGGTCAGGGCAGAGCTGCCCCGTGGCCTGCCGGTGGTGGCAAAGCTCAATGGGCCGATAGCCAGCCAGACCTAGGAGCCGAAGCTTCGATGGGGTTGAACCCTGGAGACCCTTCGTTACAGATGAGCGAGTAAGCAAGCATCAGTCTGTGCTTACCTGGCTTATTGGGTAATCGGACGCTGCACATCTGTGGCCTTCACCAATTAACTCCATGTTAGTGATTTTATGACCACCTCCACCTCCCTAGTTACCCCATAAAATGTGACACCTGGCCTGCCAGTGACTCAGGGAGCTGAATTAAACCCACCTGTGTGACCCAGGCTCACGTGCGGGCCATGCTGTGACAGCAGCCACCACACATCAGCTGTGGGCAGAGCCTTCCCCAGCGGGGGCCTCCCCAAAGACTGCCCACCCCCACGAGGGACCCCAGCCTGGAGACTGCCCACCCCCATGAGGGCCATCCCTCAGGAGACAAGCAGCCACAAGGACCCCTATCGCAGAGACAGCTCATCCCCATGAAGGAGGGCCCCTAACCCAGATGGGGTCTTCCTGCACCTTGCCCATCTTCACTCTCAGGCTCGGCTCCTCACAAAATCACAGCGGCCCCTCCACCGACGGCGAGGAAAACGCTCTGCCATTCCGGATGTCTTTGAATTGAGCATGCATCTTAGGGACATGCGGAGCTCTGGTGGCTCAGTGGATATCAGCCCTGGGGTGCTATCTGCAAGGTCAGTAGTTTGATCCCACGAGCTGCTCTGTGGAGGAAAGACGAGGCTGTCTGCTCCCTTGAACTGACAGTCTGGGAAACCCAAAGGGGCGGTCTGCTCTGTGCGGTAGAGTCTCGTGCGTTGGACTTGACTCAGGGCATGAGCTTTTGTTCTGTGTGTGGGGAAGCTGCGTCTTCTCTCAAGGATACAAGGGAGCTTCGAAAAGTTCATGGGCCAATTTCAGTGATCTTTTTGTTGCGTTTTTGAAGCTTGCGTATCTATCTATTCCTGGTGCTGCAGTGGGTTGTCTTGGGCAGCTAAAAGAAAGGCTAAGAGTTTGAGCCCACCAGCAGCTCTACAGGAGAAGAAGGAGGCAGTCTGCTTCTGTGCCGCGTGCCCCTGGGGGCTGGTGGGGCAGGGCTGAGATGGGTGGTCCTGGGCAGTGGCAGTATGTTTACTCAGGCCCATGTCTAGGAGAATCCACCTGCTGATATGGAAACAACATATTGCTAAAGGGGACCCGGGTGCTCCCCTCATGGGAGTGCTGCCGTCTCCAGAGAGCTCTGCCCTGACAGGTCCAAACCAAGGTGAAAGGAGCAGCCGTCAGGGGAACTGTGGCCAGGGAAGCCCCCTGGGAAGACCAGAGCTAAGAGCGTGAGCTAAAGAGACTGGCATCAACAACCATCGGTGATAAGCCGGCCAGCCCCCCTCTGAGGCTCGGCTACCCTCAGGCCTGGTTGGCGGCTGGCAAACAGAGCGCTGAAGGGGACAGCAAGCTTGCCGAGGACCTGTTGCCAACCACCCACGGGGTTGTTCAGATCTCTGATGCCCAGAGGCAAGGGCCAAGTTGCGGACATCATTTCTATGGCCCGTTCCCAGACTATGTTAGGCTCTGGGCCGGGACAAACTGGGTCCGGTCCGCACTGGGAGGGAAAGCGTATCTGCCAGCTTGGCCCCTGGCTTGTCTCATCTACGTGGCAGGCAGACTGGACACAGGGCTGTGCTGGGAGCAACTGCGGGGAAGGGACAGGGCGGCGGGTGGCCCACCTGTCTGGAACACCGGGTGGTGGAGCTCAGGCACTGGGACGGTCCCGATGGCGGCGGGCGTCTGGAAGTACGTCTCCAGCCAGGCTGCGCAACAGGCCAGTGGCTCGGGCAGCTCCTCTGGAGGACGCTGGACCACACAGGGGCTGCGGAAAGAACAGCAGAGCCTTGTCACCCTCTGGGGCAGCCCCTCCCTGCCCATGACACACACAGGCAACAGTGCCCAGGGCTCGCCCCCCCCAAGCCAGGGGCGTACTGTCAGGGCCCCAGAGGTGGGGGAATTCGGGAAGTGGGCTGTGGGAGGCTAGGAAGATGACCTGTCCACCCACTTTTAAGCTGTCCAGCTTCAGGAGAGACACACCACCGGGCTGAGGGTGCCCACCAGGGCTAGGCCAAGTGGCCCTGGGGCTGGAGGGAGCTGGGGGCAGGGCCAGGGAGGAGTGAGAACCAAGAGGAGCTGCTGCCCCAGGCCACCTCACGTGCAACCAGACCCCGGTGAGGTCTCCATACAATGCCTTGAACCAGGGCGCACTGAGCACCCCCCCCACGACCCCTGCAGCCATAGGGGTCCCTTCTAAGAAAGTACTGGAGATCAGAGCCGTCAGGACCCTGGAGCAGCACCCCGCTCGGCTGATGGGATTGTCTGCAAGGCCCTCTACAGAGGGGGTGGGATCCTGGCTGCTGGGGAGGGGACCCTCAGCCAGGCAGCCTGGGCTTGGACATGGAGGTGGTTGACATGTAGCCTATTTTCACAGTCTCTGCCATTCTTTTTCCCAGAGTTGCTCGGAAAAGGATGCCATCGGCATC